GAATAAAAGGTCTACTTCGATAAGGTTTGCCATACCAAAAAACGAGTGTCGTCCTTTCTTGATGAATACAAGAACTATTTGGTCACGTATGCCAATACTTAATAATAATTTTTCTTTCATGATAAGAACACAAAAAAGTATATTTTGACATTGACATGATATGCCCGTACCTATTAGCAAACTTCATTTTGTATAATAATTTTAAAAAAAAAATATTGCCCCTAGTCCTCACAAATCTAAATTAAAATGCATATAAATGTTGCAACAAGCAAATAAAACAAAATTGACTCATACAATTATTAAATATTGATTAAACAACTTTCATAAAAATATAAATTTATCTAATTAAATGTTTTACACTAAAAGGAATCTATTAGAAATTCTCTTTTAAACTGTTTAAATTATTTATTTACTTTAAAAGTAAAGCTATTCAAACATAAAATTATTTATTTATCAAATTAAGAACTTTTAATATTGTATTAAACTTATAACATCTTGACGGGATTTAATAGCTTATAATACAAACGTTTCTCCTTTATAAGTGTATTTTCCCTTCGCAAAAGTTTGAGTGTCAGTTGTTGTCATTGTATGTCTTTACATAAAAATGCAATTGCTTTCAAGGCTTTTTATAAAGTTGGGAAGTGCCACTTCGTTCATACTTTTATTCTACGGCAGAAGGAGCACCCCCTCGCTTGCGCAGTCTTCAGAAAGAGGAAAATATAATTTGTTAATTAAATATTAATAATCAATATATTATATATATTAATAATAAAAAATTTAAATATAATTTTTTTAAAAATAAAGTCTAATTTTAAAAAATTAAGATAATTTTTATAAATATAAAATAGATATTTATAAAAAATATAAAAATTTATATAGGGTAATAAAGGAAAATTAAAAAACAACATTAATCTTCAAATTTTAGAAACGAAGTAACAAAAAATATTGGTAAAAATAAAATCATTCCTATAAAAAATAGTGCAATTCTCATATTATTATTAGTATACACGAGTAGATATAAGAATGTTTCACTTCTCAAATAACAAACTCTCAATTATTATGTAGAAGTTGATTTATCAATTTAATTTTTTATGATTAATTAGTTTTTTTTATTTGTGGCGTGAATTTTGGGGTTAATTGTTCGGGAATTCAAACTCTTCAGATTGAGCTCCTCTAGTAATTTGTATGCTAGTTGCCAATTGTTATTGTTACTGTTTGGAATTTCGTGTAGATTTGGTGATGTTGACCTTCTTTTATGGTCAACGATAGATATTGAACTTTTATATTGACAACGGCTGGTTCCTTGGTCAGATCATAATCAAAGTTAAGAAATTAGCCTAATGAATAAATTAGTAGGTCAGATATAAGCATCCCAATTTGGGTGGGGGAGAAACAAAGAATGAATGAAATTATTAACTTCATATGAAAAGAGTTTAGCTATCTGCGACTGTTTGGTGCATATCTAGATTAACGTTTTTTAAAAATATTCTCACAAAGTTGTAAATTTACACCCAAAAATATAATAGCTAACGTTTAGTCGCTTACCAAAACTAATATAAGACCTCATATTAAAAGAATAAAAACGTGATAGTCATGATGGAATGTTGACACGAATTGGATCTGATTTTTTTTTTTAGTTTTAATAAAAATTACAACTTGCAGTCTAAGTTCTCTTAAATAAAAGTAAAAAATTTACTTAAATAAATTTGATAAAGAGTGATTTTTATGTAAGATCATGGCAAATTGCCATGGTCTCTCAACCAATTTCTATCGTTTATATAATTCTTACATTATTCTTAGTAATTTCACTCAAATTTAAATAATTATACTTTACTAATATTTAACACAAATAACATATTATATAATATGTAAAATTTTTTAGTAACTAAATAGTTATTAATGAAAAATAAAAGTTACTCAAATTTTTTGTAGTTTAAAATAGAAAAAATAAAATTTTAAATTTTTTTCTAATTTTAGTTTAAGTAAATTTTTTTTACTTAAACAAAAATTATTATTTTATTAAATTCACTTAATTGAATTTTTTAACTTAAATAAAAATTATTTTTTATTAAATTTAAAATTTTTTTTATTTAAATAAATTTAAGTTACGGACTACAATTCTCGTCAAAACTGCAAAAGATGCGGATATATACGAATTAGATAAATTTTTAAAAAATAAGATATGATTTATAAAATTAATATATTATTAATAAAAATATAAATATAAATTTAAAATATTGATATTAATGTTCACAGCTTAAAAAATATACTTAAAAAACCCATTGTTGCTTAAATTTATCGAAAGATTAACCAGATAAAATTATAAATTAAATATTGTGATACGTTACTTGTAGTATAAAAAATTAAAAGCCATAATTCAGAAATATTAAAAATACCTAAAGTATCCAACACGGTATTTTTCTAGTAGCGAACGTGTCAACCATGTTAACGGTATGTTTGGACTCGCATAAAATGACTTGAAAAAACATATGTTTACCTGAATGTTATGAGAGATAATTTTCGGCTATTTGATGTGAAATCAAACACTTACTAAAATATTCGTGCTTTCAACCTAATCAACAAATTCACCACTAGCAGAAATTTTAGTTTGAACCTAAGCTATTCGTCGAATTCCCATGTCATATTTAACATTCTTTCTTTTTATTGAAAAAATAAATTTATAATAAATTATAAAATCATATAAAATATCATAGATAATGGATCAAACGTTTTCTCTTTGAGTCGGATCCAAGGTTTATCATACCATTATTGGAAGTGAAAAGTTGACGGAATGAATCAAACTTCAAGCACGGATAGATCTAGACGGAGGAGGGTGTGTACCTAACCCTTAATTATTATTTTTATTTTAAAAAACATAATTTTCTAAGTTATTAATGAAAATGATTTACAACTTTTTTTTATAGATTCATGTATACCTGAATATCTTTAAAGAAGTTTATGAAAAATAGCTTATGATGCTCGTAATTAATAATTTTTTTTATTTAAATCTCCATATAAATAAGAATTAGTTATTTTATATATTAAAATTGATGTTTATGAATTCATTCCAAGTCATATAGTTATCTTCCCTTTTATTTTTGTTATTTCTTTAAATATTGTACACCTTAAGGAAAAACGATGAAAAAGACTAATCGCATGCATAGGCTCTAAATGTATCAGGTTAGTTACTATAGTATTTGTTCGTATCGTATACTAACATTTTAAAAAATTATTTAAATACAGCTTTATATTTATTGAATAATAGCTTTGATATCTATGTTCGTATTTATTGAATATCTAAATTCCTATGTATGTACCTGTTACTTTTAATTCTTAATCAAAATGTATTTTTTAAATTTTTTTATAAACTAATAAAACATAAATATCATTAAAATATAAAATATTTTATAAAAAACTTAAAATAAATAAATTACAAACATAATAATTTTCTTCTATTTTTTATAATTAATTTTTTTATATAAAATAAATTCCACAGTTTTTTTATAACTAAAAATTTTTCTTCTCTTTTCTTACTCCTAATAGTCAAACATTTTCCTTTTCTTTCTTTTTAAACTTTTAAATAAAACTTTATATATATATATATATATATTAATTTAGATTAAATTTAAAATAATTATATAAGCATTTAGAATAACTACAACACGTTTAATTTCGTGCCGTTATTATATATTAAATTATTTTCATTTTAAAATTTTTTGTCTATTGGATAATATTTTACAACTTTCAAAGATGAGAGTTTTAGTATTAGTTTTGAAAAAGTATTCATTATACATTAATGAATAAAATAATAACATGTGTTTAATAGTTGACCAATTAACAAAATTTACTTTCTCTTTCTTTTTAGTTCTCTTTTAATGGTGTGGACTTCGTTAACGTACAATGTTTTAAATTTAAGGGTCTATTTGAATGATCTTATGAACAACTCAACTCATGCAAAATAGTTTATAACTCTGGTAAGCTATTTTTAATTCATTTTAATAAGCTTCTTGGTATAATTTATTTAAAAAATATGTTTTGAATCTTTCAATAATTTTATCGGTAAATTTATAGTATAAGTCATTATTTTTAGTATAAGTGCTTAAATAAACAATTGTCTAAATATACTTTAAATGTTAATTAAATGACTTTAGATAGTGTAAATTTTTTTCTAGTTTAATCAATTAAATTTATGGGATTTGTATGCATCATTGGAATTTAAACAGTGTAAATGTCTTTCTAGTTTCTACATATGGTATTTTTATTTTTTTGCATCCTTCCTACTTTTGTAATAAACTAGTGCTAGCAATTTAAAAAAAAAACTTTTTTGAATACCTATGATTAATTGATTAATTTTATTATATTTTATTTTTATTTTATGTTTATAATTTTTTATTTCTTGATTAAAATTATTCTTATAATTTATGTTTTTTATTTAATAAATATTATGTGACATTTTTTTTATTTAAAATTGGTGTATAATCAAATACTTTTGAATTTGTATAAATTTTAGTGTACTTTTTATCATATATTTTTTTTAAAATTAGATAAAACTATGAAATATTAACATTAAATTTTAAAAATGAAAATTCAACAAACATGCATATGAAATGAAATAAATAAAGAGTTATAAAACAAAATATTATAGAATTTATTAGAAGAATGTTAAGATTATCTATAAATACAAAAATATTTTCATATGTCTCATTACACAATTAAAAAAAAAAAAACATAACGAGAGAAGAGGCAACAGAGGGAGAGATTAAAGATAATAGTAGTTAGGAGTTTTTTTATGATTTGGTCGATAGTTAGGAACTCTTCCTCCCGTTATTGTTTTTTTTATTGATTTTGGTGAAACCCCCATTTTCGTTTAGTTAAAGTGTTCCTCCCAGACGGGTATTGGACTTCTTATCAAAATCATTTGAATGTGCCCAGTAAGATGGCCCAAGTATATATATATGTATGAGTATGAGACCCATCTGAACCGCAGCAAATCTGGTTCACTTAAACCGGTGCCTCACTCGGGTTTGGACCGTTTTACCCGCGGCTTCTCCTTTTCCTTCCTTATTCTCGATTCTCCTTTCAGATCTTCTTCTCCTTCAACGAGACGGCTAGGGCAGAATTACGCACACTCAAGGTAATTATCATGCGCAAATTATTTCTCTTCTTCTTCATTGATTCTTATTGTTGATTTATGACGAGGCCCTTTTTTGCTCCTTAAATCTGTGAACACACTCTGACACAAACCCGTTCTACCTTGTCAAACATGGCACCCGCTCTATAGACTCACACCTTTTGACCATTTCTCATTACCAACTATTTCACATTCTGTTATCACCGAAAAGCAATTCCAGCCAATGTCTGTTCCCTAAGAAAGTAATAAAAATAATTTTTAACTGTTCCGAAATTATTGTCCGCTACCATGTTATATCACTGGCTTTTAAATTTTGATGTTTTACTCTTATCCTCATCATTTAACTTTGGACGACGCCGGTTATGATAACAGTTCGATGAGGTTGAATGGAGGCGATTTATTTGTGTAAATTTATGTCTTGATGAATTTTGCTTATAATTAATTGTTTTACTATGTATTTTGAAATTTTCTTGTGAATTCTGATACTTTCTAAATTGCCACAAATTCAGTTGAACTGGCTGAGTACAGGGTACTAAGTACGAAGCATATCTTGTTGGTTACTTCTTAAGTTCACTTGATTGATTGATTGGTTTATTTATTTTATAGTTCTCTTTTAAATCAAATTTGATGGAAGCTTTTAAGCCTCCACAATTTTAAAATTTGCTTGATGTATTTGACATTGCATTTCAAGAACTCTATTCTTTTTCAAGATCATGGCAGATATTCAGATAATACTTGTCATTTAATTTGTGATCCTACTGGATAATAGTTCTTAATTAATAAGTATGTATGGGCTAGTTATTCTAAACCTCGAAGATGGACGGCGCATAAGTGGAAGGAAGAAATGGACATCACAGCAACTGAGTTTTTAGAAAGGGACATTGGTTATTGAATACTGATGCAAACGAATAAATGGCTTCACCTCTACCAATTCCACAATTTTGCATGTAAAATATAATTAGAGTACTGAAAGTGATACTTTTTGGCACTGTGATAATATCTACTACTGTAACTTTTTCCAATTTAATAAACTTTTTCAAAGATACCTGATGTAATCAAAGAATCCATTAGAAATTTCTGTTACATATATTCTTTTCTTTTATTTATTGTCTTTCATATTTTCATCATCAATCTATTTTTTATTTTTTTCTGAATCTGAAGATAACTGAGCAAGATCACACTTTAAATATTGGTTTACAATTATAATGTTAGCTTTTATAACATCAACCCTATCTCTCTAGCACCATAAAATAAGATACATCAACCACAAGAAGTGCCGAAAGGTACCTCCATCAACCAACATTATCCATCACAACCTGATCCTTATGTTGCATTGTGTTGTGTTGGACCCTACCTTTCTTTCTCTTTGTTTTAATCTATGTAGTTGACCTGATGTGAATCTAAGAGTCATTCGCTTCTTTGTTTGTGGTTTGTTCATAAAATGCATATTATTTGTTTCATTAACATCTTAAATGCTGTTAAAATTTTATTTTATTATTTTAGATGTCTCTTTGTAGTTTGTATGTGGGATTATGATACTTATGATGTTATTGTATTTTTTTTTCTGTTTTAACGGTGTGTTGGCAGCCCCGAATAAGTGTATTTTTAAGATTTTGATTTAGATAAAGTTGAAAATGGGTTTATGATTCATGAAAGGGGGCTTCATTTAGAATATGGGGTTTTTATTTATGTAAGGGACTTCATCTACTGGGATATGAGTTGGTTTGTTGAGCACTTTCACACCAAAGTATTGCACTAAAATATTAGGAGTGGTTTGCTTAATATATGGTAGGATTCAATGGCTCTTGAGCCACATATTAGAACTATATGATTTATTGTGGTTTATAAGATCTTGGCCATGGTATAGTCCTCTCAAGATTCTTATCAATTGGTATGAAAGTGTTTCACCACGTTTGTAGTGTTGATGATGCTAGTGTTGTAGTGTTCACTTGAGACAAGTCAAGGAGTTAGTGTATAGCCAGCCAACCCACGTGACTGTTAGTGGGATGTCAGGACTCAATTGCAAGGTATGAGACTTGAGTCCCATATTGAAAGTATGGGGATTTTAGGGTGGGTGGAGTTGATAAGGTTTTGAGCTCTCCAATTACTATAACTAGCTTTTATGGAATGATTTTCCCAATATTTTTATGAATCTTATAACTCAATAATTTTGCCAATGAAATTTGCCTTTGTATATTATTGCATCCAAATGACTTCAACAATTTAAAAATAATTTCTCTAGTACTGTATCCAAATACAGAACATATTTTGTTTCATAGAATAAGGGATTTTCAGAAACTTTTCACATTTTAAAAACCCAGTGGCATTGGCTTGGTCTTTTAGAAGAAGGTAAGTATAAAATTACTTCTGTCTCATTTGCATTATGTCATAATGTCAGGATTCAGCCAAATCTATGTTTTCACCTGATTAATATTTGCTAGGCATAATTTGTTAATGCTTGATTTTCTGTCTTAATTCTTCTTAATGGTTTCCCTCACTACCCCCTTCTTTTGGAAAAATGTTGAACTTTTCATTGTAAGAATTCCATTTTTCAAGCTAAGTTGATTTACTTGTCACAATGATTTGATCCTTTTTCAAGGATAGTCAACTAGTTATAGAGCTGTAATGTGCTTAGAAGGTTTTGTTCTATTTTTCTTTTGCGCTTTTTGAACTCTTGTGAACATGCTAATAATCTTGGCATGAACAGTTGGATCTATGCACAATGGAAAACTGAGCAAATTGGTCTCCTAAAACATGAGAATGTTCTTTTGGGCCTTTTATTCCACTGTCAATTTTTTGGAGCTTAGACCTCCAATACTTTTATATTTAGCATGCTTTTAATATTTGGGAATATTGAACAAATTTATTGTGGAATAGGGTTTGGATACATGCTTTTCCTATTAAACTACTTCCAACGGTTACATTGTTAGGCTGCACCACCTTTTTCTTCTTTGCCTTATCATGAGGTAAAATCTTGCAAATATATTATAACTTTGAGCTGGGGAAGCAATGGCATGGAAAGGACATCTTTAAAAACGAATAAAAGAACATTGGTTTTTGATATCCACTGTCAATTATTTGTAGCTTAGACCTCCAATACTTTTGTATTTACTGTGCTTTTAATATTTGGGAGTATAGCACAAAGTTATTGTGGAAACTATTGTAGAATAGGGTTTGAATACTTGCTGTTAGATTACTTCCAATGTTCCAAGGTTACGTTGTTAGGCTCCGCTCACCACCTTTTTCTTCTTTGCCTTGTCATGAGGTAAAATCTCACAAATAATATAACTTTGAGCTAGGGAAGCAATGGCATGGAGCGGTCATCTTTCAAAAAGCAAAAAAGGACATCAGTTTTTGATATCCTCTGTCAGTTATTTGTAGCTTAGACCTCCAATACTTTGTATTTACTGTGCCTTTAATATTTGGGACTATTGCAGAAAGTTATTGTGGAAACTATTGTAGAATAGGGGTTTGGATACATGCTTTTCCTATTAGACTACTTCCAATGGATACATTGTTAGGCTGCTCCTACTGTTTTTACTTTGCCTTGTGAGGAGGTAAAATCTCACAGATATTATAACTTTGAGCTAGGGAAGCATGGCATGGAGAGGACATCTTTCAAAAAGCATTAAAGAACTTCGGTTTTTGATGTGCCAGTCATCACCTGCAAGCTCATCTACAAGGTTATAAAAAAATATTTGCCTTTCTTTGGTCTAAAATTTCTCAGCATTATTATTTATATATGTTTGATTGCTTAGTTACACTTACATGTCATATGTACTTGAATATGAAATGATCTCTTATTCATTTTCATTATATCAGGGCATTTGTGGAAAAGAATTATAAGGAACTAAAGACATTGAACCCAAAATTGCCAATATTAGTCCGTGAGTGCAGTGGAGTTGAACCCCAATTGTGGGCAAGATATGGTATTAACCATCTTAAATCTGATTCTTTTATTTTTTTTATTTGATTTTGTCCTCAGTTCATTTTGCATTCACCTTCTATATCATTGTTACCTAGCCTTTATCTCTCTTGTTTTCAAGTAGGAATTGTAAGGATTTATAAATTGACATTAACACATTAAGACTGAAAATATGTTAATCTGCTTTGTCCTCTTAATTTCATATCTAGGGCCACAAGGTTATGCCAAAATAATAGTATTGGTCACTAGAAACTAAATTTCAATATTATCCCAGTTTTGACTTTGGTCCAAAAGAAAATTAATACAGACTTTCTTGTGTAGTGTGTACACAACTACACATTTAGTGTATATCTAGTGTGGCTGAAAATTCAGCTGTACAGGTGTTGAATCTGTCTGTCTGAAATCTCAACCTACCAAATCCGTGCATAGAATATCAAGCCTTTTACAGTTATATATCTCAAGTATGAGAGAACAATTTAATGAGGATGAGTTTTGTGCCGTCTGCAACATCTTAGGGTGCTCCCTTTTGGGGTACACTTTATACTCAGAAACACAATTACTTTACACACTTTTATTTAATTGTAAGAAATACCCTTATTGAGCACTTTTGATTTATGGGTATGGGCGTGTGGCTGAAAGAAGTTATGATATTATATCTCCTTAAATATTTGGTCAACTTGCTTTGTTATGGAATGTAAATGAAATAAGTATGACAAATCTGTTAGGAGGTGAGAATCTCAAATGAGGGGAAATGATGTTTTCACTTGACCTGCTTTAAGAAAGTCACTAAATTGCAGACAATGGCCCAGTTTTGATTAGCTCTAGCTTAGAGGAGCTTTTCAATTGTAAAACTCAATTATCATAACTTTTCTAAGGCAAGAATATAAGTTAAAGTACTCATGGTTTGAAAAGTTGAGGTCTATAGCTTGATTTTAACTTTTGCAAGAAGTATAATTGTATTTTACCTTTTCATTCATTTTATTTTATTCTCTAGAAGTGTTCTAAGATATTTATCTAAACTGATTCAATGTCCATATTGTCCATCTCTGATGAGCCTTTCTGATCATATCTTGTGAAGTATCTCTTTTTTTTTGCATTGTTTTGCACTGGTTCTGTTTATGATGAGCCCTGATTTCCTGTAATTTTGTTCTTTAATACTAGATTTGGGTGTTGAGAAAGGCATAAAATTGGAAGGCTTATCAGAGGCACAGATCTTCAAGGTACTTGAAGATCTGGTAAAAGCAGGACAGTCATTGAAAGCTTGATGTAGCTGCTTATGCGCTATCTGAAATGGAATAAATGTTCTCATGCTGCCGTTGTTGCTGCAAATTGCTTTCTGGTTTAAAACAAGCTAGATTTTCCTTCTGTTCAATCTCTGGTGTCAACCTGTCTCTTTCTGCATCTTACAGTCATTTCAAGTATGATACTGTTGAGTTTATTCAGACCAAAGATTAAATCTATTTAGATTTTGTTCATGTCACTACTTGTCTATATCAAAGGTTGGATTGCCAGAGAACTTGATTCTGTATTGACTCAGCCATATAATCGGTTGACACTATAGCCAAGCATAAAACGATCTTGAATATTTTCTTTGATGGTGCTAGTATGGTTTCTTTTTCGGTTCCTATGCTGCCTTTGATCCAAAATATAAATGAAAAGATTGTGTTCTCTAGTTTACCAATTAAACTAGCGCTAAACATTAAGTGGTAATTTCCTGTAAATTATGGTATGAAGTACGGGATAATATATTATTTAAACCATGATTTTTATGTTAAACAAAACATAAAATTATCAAACACTTCAACTTAAAATTTTTTATTTATACTTAGATTAGAAGTAAAGAGAGCTTTAATACTTTTATAAAAAAATTGCACGAACATTTTTGTTAATGTTTGACACATTTATAAAATTTTTTTACACATTTTATATAAATATTTTGATTTTTCTCATTTATTTTTTTTAATTAAATTTTTTACTGGAAAATAAATTTTAATTGAAAAAATTGATTATACTTTAATATCATTGGGTTGTTATTTCTATAACTAAAGTTTTCACATGAGAACTTTCTACGTTTTTATATTATTAATCTAATTTTTGGCCTAAAAAAATAATAACTACAAGTGTCTAACAAAATAGCTACAATTACAATCACTAAATGATCAACTTAAATATTTTCTATTTATATACCAACTATAATTCTTTAAATTAAATCAGTCACTAGTTTCTTTTATTAGAAATATATTGGTATTCCAACCATTAATTTTTTAATATAACAATTTTTGCTTTCTATTTCTTAAGCAATTTCAAATCAACTCATAAAATATGGAGATAAGGTTGGAATAGGTATTTGTTTTAGTGATCTAAATAGAATAAAAATATGATCAAATATAGAATTTCGAATGCAAACTTATTCTCATTACTATTATATTAATATAATTTTTTGTCTCAAAATCAATCACTACTTACTAAAAAAATTAGACATTAAACTTTTTCTATATAAATAGTAAAAAAATCTGGTCACTATAAGGATAAAAAAAACAAAACTTGATAAGTATAAAAGTTTTAGTGCTACTTCTGCCTGTTCAACCAGATTATAATCAGGTGATCAGGTAACTTTATATAACAAAAAGAAGAAGAAGAAGCTAGACGTATAAACTGTTGAGTTGATTCTGAATTAAGTCAAATGGATCAATTCATCTAATTTACTCAATAATAGTTATGACAAATGAGAAATATACTTGTTTTAGCGTTGTTTATAATAATCTCGTTACGTTTCTTATGCAATTTCAAATCAAATGACATAAAATAGAGGGTCGAAATAGGTCTCTATTTAAATGATGCAAATAGAATAAAAATATGATCAAATATGGAATTTTAAAAGTAAACTTGAATTAAAGGATATATTGATATGTAGAAATCAGTCTCGTTACAGTTACAGTGCATCTGTCTCTCATGCTTATAATAGTATACTAACGAGACAACATGAAAGTCTTGATCAATGACCATCCATTCTAATTTATTTTCTGTTTTGATCGCACTTTTTTTTGTGTGAGAAGGTCCTCCATATCATATCAAATATTACATGAATAAAAGATACCGACACAACTTATTCTCATTAAAATATTTTTAACAAAAGTCTTTTCTTGGTATATGCTTCAAGTCAAGCTATCTTTGAACGAGGAGATTTAAGAGAAGGATTTGCAAAAGGGCCCTCAACAAGTCCCTTTGCAATTTGCCTATATGCTGCTTCAGTAAAGTGCGCTCCATCCCAATTGATGTGTTTTGAAGGATCTGAACAAACGGTGGAGGCAGCACTTCCACAAAATATGTTTATATCAACATTGTATGGTTCACCTTTTCCACAACATGCTCTTAAAGTCTCTTTCTTATCAGAAGAAAAACCTACATTACATAATTTAATGCTCATGATACAAATCAGTTGTAGTAAAATTGTAGTTATTGCTCATGTAATGAAAGAAAATAAAAACACAACCTACCATATTGTTGCGGAGCCTGGAATAGACGTTTGGCAGCACCATAGTAGTCAAAATATATTATATTAACCTGTGGGTTCTTTTGTCCTAAAGTCTCTATGGCTTGTTTGAGTTGTCCATTATAATACTCAATGAAAGTATTGTAAGCAGTCAAGCACCCGAATTGATCATAGTCATTTATGTTATCGCTATTCATTATTGTCAAAACGGCAAAATTGCACCCAATTGGGAAGTTTCCTGGCACCACTACCTCTACTGCTCCTTCTTCAATTATTTTCTAACAAAAAGAAATAAACAAAAGTAAAATTCAATTTCTAATCAATCATGTTTCTAATCAAAGTCTAACTAAACTATCAAAATTGAAGTAGACATTTCACTAATTAAATTTGAAATAGACAACATACAGTGGTGGTATTCGTAATTGCTTCAATAATTAGTGGAACCAATTCTCGAAGTTTTGTAATATTTTTATATGGTAGAAGTGCATTGATATCATTCCCACCAATCTCTCCAACCAGAAACAATGATTTCTTGAATAAATCTTTGCACTCTGTTATAGAAAGTGATAAAAGTTGTCATATAGAATGAAAAAATTTCAATTATTTGATAGAAATGTTATGAAATGAATTTTAACAAAACCTTCTTTGTTTTGACAAAGGGAAGGTTTGATCTTCTTAAACCAATCAAGCTGAACATTAATGAAGAAGCAGCTGCCTCTGGTGTATTGATTTCCTCTGGTGAATGAAATGATACCGACTGTGAGAGCAGGTGCACCACGAGCCACACACTCTCTTCCTGACTAGTCCTCTGACCACTATCTTTGCTAAGCGACCCGTGACTACCACGTGGTATCCGTGAGGTGGGGGTAACCAGTGACCATCCATAGTGAAAATATGTGATCACAGTGCCACTATGAGCGTGGCTGGCGTGCAGTGAGAGCACGAGATTATTGTTTGTTAGTTTTGTGTATGTGTAAACTGTTTGATGTCGTGAGTGCATCGGTATTTGAATTAAATTGAATGGAGTAGTATTGCTGCCTGTGAATATATTTTATGAATTGTGTTAGAAATGATGTAGAATAGGTGTAAGGTGAGACTCTATGCTTGTTTGTGTGTTTGGTAGTGTAGAGTACTCACCCTTACATTCATCTTTCAGGTAATCAAGATGATCAGCACTGGACTCGATGAAGGGTTGGATGAAACTGTTATAGGGCTTAGGATATTAGTTTGGAAATGTTGTATTTGAAATGGTTCTGTAGCAGTTAATTCATATAAAATAGTAACCTTTTTCTTCATTTTGTAATATTTGTGAAACCATGTGATGAGAATTTTTTTAAATGAAAAATTTTAATATTCTTATTCTTTTGCAAAATATATTATTTGGAAATCAAATTAAGGTGTTACATTATTAATTGTTGCAATTTAGCTGGAAGTTGTTATTAGTGCATTATGGAGATATTTTGGATAAAATTTAGATACTTTTAGTCCTTGGCTGTGCTATGTGAATCTGAATCTGAGTTTGAATTTTGAATTTAAAATTTAAACATAGATAAAGATTGAGATATAAAGGATTTGGAGGGATTCTGATTGTGAATAAAACCGATTTAAAAAGATAGAGCTCAACCGACTAGAAACTCAGGGCACAACCTATATAAAGAGGCCTTATGCTCCACACTTGACTCACTTCCACTTATCTACACACTTTCCCCTTCTTCGTTCTAACCAAACTCATTTTTTAGAGTTATTGGAGACCATTGACAAGGACGACGAGTTTTTCCTTAGAGTCCAAGCAAGTGATTGAGCGACCTTTGGAGAACGAGAACCCTTTTCTTCTTTTACCTTTTTGGGTTTCTTTTGTTTGTGTTTTCCTTTGTGGTTATGAGTTTATTCATCACGTTCTTCGTAGTTTATTTTATTATGAGTAACTAAACCCATAGCAAGGGTTGTGGTGGATCCTACTGCAAACTTTGTGTGATTTTTACTTTAATGTTGGTATTGGTTTTCCTTTAATGTTTGGTTTTTATTCTATTGGATTATATTGTGTATCTTAAGAATTGATCATCCTCAGCATCCTATAGTTAGTTCCATTGTAGGCGATCGTACCACGTGTAATCAACGGAATTATAGGATAAAACGAGACAAGGGGTTAGGTTAATCACACTTAATTCATTTCTTTCAGCCATTATTAAATTAACAAACTCATAGGATCTTCATGCTTTCTTGACTAATTACCTTGCATGATCATTAGGAGTGTTTGTTCAAGAAATATTGACATTGTATAATCATTGGGTGTTAATAAAATTAACTATGAGTGGTTGGCAAATATTTGGATACCAATATCGAGATTAAATTAATTAAAACATAAAGAAGTGTAGTAAGTGAACCCATAAGTCCTAGGCTCATCTCATCCAATCTCTTTCATACATTGTATTATTGTTCTTTCAATTTATTGTTAACATTAAGCTCTACTTTTGATCCGTTACAATCTCGTTACATTTAAATAATCAAATTAAGTTATTCTTGATACTTGAAAATAATCTCTGGGGACGATAACTTGAGAACACTTAATTCAAAAACTCTTTATTACTTTTGGATATGTACACTTGCTTACAAACAAGTTTTTGGCACCGTTGCCGGAGATTAGTTTTCAATATCAAAGAAAATAAAGTATTTGGTTGATTTAAACATTTTTTTTCCTGTTTTATGCTCACTGGTTTTAAACCTATTGCAGAACTCACTTTTGATCCAGAAATCGAGAAGAGCACAGTAGGCTAAGAAAGGAGTGTAGAGAAAAGAAAAAGATGGCAGAAGAACGACCAATCTTGGAGTACATGACACCCACTGCTGAGGGTGATGTCGGGAACATTGTACCACCTGACATAGAGGCCAATAATTTTGAATTAAAGCTGGCCTTGATCAATCTAGTATAGAACTCCACACTGTTTTTGGGATAACCTGACGAAGACCCCCACCTTCATCTGAAAAAGTTTCTCTGACTCACGGATACCATCAAATACAATGGTGTCACCAAAGATGCTATAAGGCTTCATCTCTTTCCATTCTCTATCACAGAAAGGGTGAATGCATGGTTCTCCACACTTCCATCTAATTCAATTACAACGTGGGATGGTTTAACCCAACAATTCTTACCCAAATATTTCCCACCATCACTCTCTGCGAAGCTAATGACAGAGATCTCCAATTTTCAACAATATAAGTCTGAATCTCTATTTGAGACGTAGGAGCGCTTTGGAGAACTTCTGAGATGTCCACATCATGGTTTCCTTGTGTGGAAACAGATGCAAATTTTCTATGCTAGACTCTCATCTTCTAATAGAGCTACAGTTGATGCTGCCGCTAAAGGATCCTTCCTATACAAAGGTCCAACTACGGCTTATACATTGATAGAAAAGATAGCATCCAACAATTTTTAATGGCATACAGACCTTCACAGAAGCAAAGAGAAGGAAGTTGCTCCAATCTATTAGGCATAAAGCAGCAGCATAATAAAAATAAGCTGGAAACTCTGTCAAGACAAATGGAATTAATATTAAGAGCACAAGATCCATCGATAAAACCTCTAGAGGCCAAGAGGTCAACTTCCTAAGCAACAACTATAGTTCAGGATGGTGAAATAATCCTTCAAATTCAAATGTTTATCGTTCTCCCCATATACAAAATCAAGGAGCAAGACTAGAGGGAAAGGAGGCTCCTAGATTTTAGTCTAACTTTCAAGAACAAATGACGTAGTATATGCACTATTTTGACAAGAGAATGACAGAGTTTGAATCTAAGTTGGAACAGTAAAACCTTCAAATAGACCAATAAGCCCAAACAATAAAAGAAGGTTCTTTGAGATAAACTCTTATGTGAAAACTCAGTCATTAGAAATAAAGGCACAACTTCAACAACTTACCAATCTTCTGAGTAAAAGAGTGATGGGAACATTACCATCTTAGCTCGAACATAATTCAAGAGAGCAATGCAATGCCATCACTCTCAGAAGTGGAAAGAAATTGCAAGAATTGTAAAACAGAGGCTCATGTATGCCTATGCTTAATGAGAAGAATGCCCACGTTGATCCTACAGGCACTTCTATGCTTACTGATGAGCATGCCCGTGCTACAATAGAAGCATGCCTGTGCCTAGACAAGTACGCCCATGTCAATGATAAAAGCACGGTCATGCATCCCCACGAGTAAGGTTGTGCTTTAAGCGTGAAGCCTGAAAAAGAAAAGAATGAAAAACCTCTTATGCAACCAAAGCCCTATGAGCCTAAGATACCTTTCCCACAGCGACTGTAGGGTCACCCTCTATACGATGAAGAGTTCAACAAGTTCTTAGACCTATTGGGCAAAGTGCACATTAATATGCCCTTCATCGATGCCATCTCCAAAATACCCAAATATGCTAAATTTTTAAAAGAGATTTTCACCAATAAGAGGAAGCTGAGAGCAGATGAAATTGTAAAGCTCACTGAGGAGCGCTCACCTAAACTTAAGGACCCAAGGAGTTTTACTATTCCTTGGATCATTGGAAAGACCCATACTGATAAGGTCCTATGTGATTTAGGAGCAAATATTAACCTTATGCCTTATTCTATTTTTAGGAAGCTTGGAATGATTAAACCTAAGTCGACCTCCATGTTGTAACACACTCTTTTTCATTATTCGGTAAATTATGCTTAGTTTAATATTAAGTAGTATTAGAGTGCATTTAGAAGTGAGTATGGAGGATTTTGGAAGGATTTTAGTGCAAGAGAGGTCTCGCTAAGGCGAGGCAAATCTCGCTCAAGCGAGACTAAGCGCTCAGGAAGATGATGTTTTTGGACAATCTCGCTCAAGCGAGATAGGATAAATTCAGGCCAATTGTCACCTTGCTTAGGCGAAAGTGATCTCGTTCAAGCGAATTGAGATCTTGCTCAGGCAAGATAGGTTGCTCAGGCGAGGACTCACAGAAAAAATGTCTTGCTTTCTGGACGTTATCTCGTTCAGGCAAGATGGAGTTCACTCAAGCGAGCATATCAGGAAATGTTAGGCGAGACCACTGTCTGCATATCTCGCTTAGGAGAGATATCTGTGGCTCAACCGAGATATTTGTCGCTCAAGTGAGTTGTTCCTCGCTTAAACAAGAGCGCGTAGGGTTAAGGGTATTTAGGAGATTTCCAGCATAATAATTTCATTTCATTCAAAAACTCACATTCCTCTACTGTTTCTCTGAACTCTTCCTTCTTCTCTCCAAAGAAAACCCTCAAAAACTCTAAGTACTCTTCAAATCTGAGCTTGGACGTTGCATCTAAACGATTCTAAGTAAGTTTCTCAAGATTAAATTTCATTTTCTTTGATCATTTCTTATATTTTTGTTCCTCATGGATATCTCTTGGTATTTAGGAGAACTTCCCTTGTTGATCTCTAATCTTCTTCAATATCTCTTCATTAAACTCATTTTAAGGTAAGGAGAGCTCTATTTTATCATTTTATTTTAGTATTTATTGTTCTCATTAGAGCACTGTTATATGGACATTTCATGAAAATATATGGTTGAAATATCTATGATGTGAATAATAAATGGAAATATGCTTGTTTGATTGTGTGGACTGATTGGTTATTTGGACTGAATGGTTGTTACAAGCTTATATGCATTATACGATGAGTACTTAATATGAAATAGTATTAAACTTGCTGAGTGATTATAATTTGATTTTATGAAATATGTCTGGATGAAATGATATGATAAAGTGTGATATTGATCTGAAGGATTTAGTAATTGTACCTACATTAATAAGGGTATGAGTGGAATGGACTTAGTCTGGAAGTGCTTTACTAAGCACGATCTTATGAATGGGAGAAAGGATAACTTTAAGAATAACTTTAAGTGTTGAATATCGATTGGATCTAGTGTGAATAGTTATAGAGATACAGTAGGAATATAGAATCTGGAGATGATGAGAAATCTGGGGGCAACATAGGGTGGCGAGTGACATTCGCGTATGTGTACACACTCTTTTTGTGAGCGAATGCGTTACATGGCCTCACACTTGTTTCCTGACTAGACTCCTGACTATGTCTTTGCTAAGGGCCCCAACTATTGTATACATTGTATCTGTGTGCATGGGCTAACCAGCAACTATTTACTTGTGTATAAATTTAGAGAGAAAGAGCATAGAGAGAGAGACAGATTAGTGTGCTGAAATTGGATACTCTACAATGTGTAGAGACCCTTATATTTATAAGGATACATATGTAAACCTACTAAGCCAAACCTATTATTATAATACTAAAATAAACCTTAATCTTAATACGTCTATTCTAACTATTCATAACACTCCCCCTCAAGCTGGAGTATAGATATTAATCATGCCCAGCTTGTTACAAATATATTTGCTACGTGTCCCATTTAAAGCTTTTGTAAACGCATTTGCTAGTTGGTCGCATGTCCTAACATGAGAGATGGGTATAAGCTTTTGCTAAACTTTTTCTCGAATAAAGTGACAGTCTATCTCAATATGTTTTGTCCATTCATGAAAAATTGGATTTGAGGCAATGTGCATCACTGCTTGGTGATGAAACGATTTTTACTACTCGTCATGCAAAAGATTGTCGTTAATCCTCATCAAATATGCAAAGAAATGAATGCAGTACTAGGGTGTTATCCTAGGTCGTCTCCAAGGAATTTTTGGTTGAGAACATACATCGAACAAGTGTAAACATGTATTTTAAAGCAAGTAAATTGGGGGGAGGTTTGTCAATTTCCAGATTTTAATCAAGAGTAAAGTGTAAATTTAATGAAATTCAATCAATTAAAATGAGTAATCCCTAGTCAAGCAATGAGTTCTATCATTATTCTTTCTAATGATTCAATAATCCCCTTTCTTTCCCTTGAATTAAGTTAATCTAACAAGCGAAGACTAACTTTAACATCCCAATTAAAATTAAGCATCTTAATGGGCTCCAATCTCTATCCCAAAGATTAAGCAACCTCAAGGATTAATCAAAATTAAGCAATTTTGAATTAGAATTTCGTTAAGTAAATTAGGGTTCATTAAGCAATGTTCCCTTCATGCAAATTCCATTTCATTCAGAGATTGGGGTTAATAAATTCAAGGAAAGAAAGATTTGTATTGCAATTAATCCCAAGAATTCAAGATTCATGTGCATTGACTAGGAATTACAAGAAAGTTTAGTCCTCCATATGGATGGGCTTCACAAATGAGAGAAAGAAATGCAAGAACGTAAACATCATTAATGTAAACTTAACAAAAATCAAAGGAGAAATTGGAAATTAAAACCTATAGAGGACCCTTGGCTGTCACCCAAGACTCCAATGTCGTAAGCAATTATCCCAATTTGGCAAAGGAAAAATGTGTAAAGTGTCAAAAGTCTCGTACCCTAATTCCTAAAATCTATTTATAGTGGATGACATGTCACCAAAGTGTCCACTTTTGCCTTTGAAAGTGTCCACTTTGGGCCTTGAAAGTGTCCACGCGCAGAATGGAAGGAATGCCGCTTCTCTGGAGTCGCTACTATTTGTGCTGAAAGTAGCTACTTTGGTGCGCGTAGCTACTTTGAGAGCCCATAGTAACCACGCGCAGGAAGGCTTCAAAATCAGCGTCCTGGAGCTTCTGAAGTTGCCACTTTTGGTCTTGAAAGTAGCTACTTTGGATGCGCGTAGCCACTTTGAGAGCCCATAGTGACCACGCGCATCATGCTTCAAAATTGGCGTCCCTGGAGCTTCTGGAGTTGCCACTTTTGCTCCTCAAAGTGGCTACTTTGGGACCTTTAATGCCCAGGCTTGCTGTAGTTGCTACTTTTGCTCCTCAAAGTGGCTACTTTGTGGGCAACTTTCATCCAAGGACCAAGATTTCTCAAATTTAACTTGGACATTCTGCAAAATCATCAAGATAATTAAAATTGCAACCTATATCTATGTAATTAAATGCAAATTAACCAAAAATTAATAAACCTATGATATTTACTCAAAATGTGATTTCTATATTATTTTCACTATCTAAGTCTATTTTTTCTATCAAAGAGCACCAAAAAGGCAAGTAAAAATATAATAAAAAGTGGATTCATCACAACCCCAAACTTAAACTTTTGCTTGTCCCCAAGCAAATCAAAATTCAAGCAAATCAAATGATAGGGTTGGATTTATCCCCTTTTTTTTTTTTTTTGAGATTTTCATTTCAACTTCATGCTTTAATTAGCACTTCCAACATCTTCACAACCATAGACTCATTCAACAGAGGAATCATATTCATGTCAAATATTCCATGCAAAGTCCCACTAAATTGAAACAAAAGAATCAAGCAAGGTTTCATGTGACTCACATAATGCAAAGAAACTATCCATCTCACAAGGTGGTGTTTCACTCATCACTCAACAACATTTCAGGCTAAGTGTTTTCCCTCAATCCATGCATTTAGCCTCACCCTACCATAGGCTTGCCCATATTCTCAATCTCCTTTGCCTAGATACAACGAACCACCTGTCATGAGGGCTTTGTTGGTCACAAATGGGGTTAGGATATGCTCAAATTTTAACCAAGGAGGGTGACAAGATCAAGTGGGTACTCAAGAGGAGGGAGTTCTTTTGAGTGATTTAGTGCAACAACTAGAGTGGAATGCCTTAAATGATGTAGCTTAAGAGGTTAAAGCATTCTTTCACCACATTAATTTTTTTATTTGCCTTATGTGGAGATCCTTTTTTAACTCAAATGCCTTGCTATATTTTTCTTTCTTTCCTTTCTCCTTTTTCATTCATTCATATTTTTGTGATATCATGGACTTTGACAATCAATTTTTTTTTTGACATGTATTATGAACATGTATGCTGTCCACCACCCCAAACTTAAGACATTGCTTGTCCTCAAGCAACTACAAACATAATCAACACCCCAAACTTAGTTTCTTGCACTCAATCTTGAGGCAACTCAAAAGAAATACCTCTATTAAGGAAAGGGAAATATATTTGTTGACTAAGTTTGGCAAAAGCAAGAAGTGGGGAACAGGGAAGTGAAGTGCAAGGGTGGGGGGGAAAGGTATGTGCAAAGAAGGCCTCAATCATTTAGATGAAAAATTACACAATGCATATTGAATTAAGAAACAGGGCAAGTTCTAGAGGATGAATGCAACAATACATGTAATATGCACACAGAAAAAGAAGTAAGAGGCCCAATTCACTACCATGGTAAAAGTGATAATAACTTGCAAAATGAGAGCACAATTCACCCGACAAGAAAATATGTTCAAAATGGTAGGGACAGTAAATATGTACAAAAATGAGAATGAGTAGGAGTTAGATGGGAAATTCAATCAGAGCATAAAAGCAAAATACGAAAAAGAACTAGATTAAAATGAAAAGAGAAGAAATGAAATAAGGGAAATATATTTTTTTTATTTTTTTTATTATTATTAGTACTGTGCAGGAAAAGTAAGCTACAAATAAATGCAAAATAGAGACAAAGAGTTCACTCCCCTTTTATAGATGGTGTATTCAAAGTTCAGGGTAAAATGATGCTCCTCTTGATGGAACTGAGGGCATCTCTGCACAATGATAACAAGAGTTCAGAAAAAAGAACGAAAAGGGAGGTAACATAACTGTTTGAAGGAAAATAACATAAAAGCAGGAACGGAAAGACAATAAAAGGACAAGTGGTTCCTAATTACTTGGGAAAATAAAAGAAAATAAGTACAAGCAGAGAAATAAAAGAAAACACGAAAAGTGGACTAAATGGCATCTTCATCAGAGGTAGATGAGGTGGCGCCTTCATCTTCTTCTACTTCTTCTGCTTCCTCTGAGGAACTGGAGTTGCGGACATCTCTGGGAGCATTGGGATTGAATGGGGGCAAGTCATTCTGAACAGTAGCTCGGAGGAAAGGGGCAGGGAAACGGTGTGCCTGATATATCTGGTCTGAAATCATCCCCATCTTCTTGCCAATGTTCAGCATCATGGTCTCCATGAGGAGGAGCATGCTGGTTTGACCAGAGTGGATGGCAGACTGCCTCTGTGCTATTTGCTGCAGCTGCTCCTTGATTGTTGCAGGGGTTTCCTTCTTGTATTCGGGTGGCAAGGTGAGACCGGGGTCTGAAGACTTCTTTGGCTTAAATAGGTCCTTTACCGAGGCAGTGGAAATGGGAGGAAGTGCTCTAATTCTCTGCTGGTAGTCTCCAAAATCAACACCTGCATCCTGGCACAACATAGTGATTAGAGAGGGAAAAGCTAAAGAATCTCTGCTCCTTTTAAGGACTTCCAGCATGGCGCTGCTGATGACCTCCCCAACATGGATAGGCATGCCAGTGAGAATAGCATAGATGAGTTCTGCCCTCTTTACTACAATGGTGGAGGTGTGGATGACTGGCATGAATGAGCTGACAACAAAGATACTCCACACCTTGACAGGAGGGAGAAGGTGTTTAGTGGTCAGATTCTTGGGCTGCATTTTACAATCAAATTCCCAATTTTCTCCTTCAATGCAGATTGCTTGAAGTATAGGCTGATAATCCTTTTCCTTTTGTTTGGAGAATGCAGTGAAATCCAATTGGCCAGGTTGCTTTTGCAGAAGGGGGATGTTTAAAACCCTCTGGATGGTGGCTGGAGTGAAACTAACTTGCTTACCCCTGACCATGGTGTGCCTGGGAGGGTAAGTGTCATCTTCCAGGCGCAGGGCATTAGCATAGAATTCCTGGGTGATGTCCTTCCACCCATTGCCTGCACAAGAAGTGAAAAGTCCCCAGCCACGTCTGTCTATCTCCTTCTGAAACTGTGGAAATGTCCCCTGCTGGAAGTATGCCTTGTGCTCTATTTCCACTGGTAAATGGCAAGCCTTGCCAATGATTATTCTGTAAGGAGACATGCCCAAGGGTGCTTTGAATGCAGTTCTGTGTGCCCACAAGGCATCATCTAGCCTGCGACTCCAATCTTTTCTGTGGGGCTGTACAACTCTTTCAAGTATTTTCTTTATTTCTCTGTTGGAAAGTTCTGCTTGGCCATTCGTTTGCGGGTGGTAGGCTGTGGAAACTTTGTGCAGAACTCCATATTTTCTCAGCAGGACCTCCATTGTCTTGTTGCAAAAATGACTCCCTTGGTCACTAATGATGGTACGTGGGATGCCAAACCTGCAAAATAGGTTAGAGCAAACGAATTCTGCAACAACTCTAGCATCATTAGTCTTTGTAGCTTTAGCTTCTACCCATTTTGAAACATAGTCAACAACAAGTAAAATGTATAAGAAACCAAAGGAAGAGGGAAAGGGACCCATGAAGTCAATACCCCAGACATCAAAGATGTCACAATATAGGATAGGTTGCTGAGGCATTTCCTGTCTCCTGGTGATCATTCCTCCTGACCTCTGGCAACTCTCACAGATAGAATATGTTCGCCAAGAGTCCTTGAAAATGGAGGGCCAGTATAATCCTAAGTCCAACACCTTTCTTGCTGTTCTTTGAGGTCCACGGTGTCCTCCCACAACCGAATTGTGGCAAAACTGCAGTATGGATGGGATTTCCTCATCAGGGACGCATCTTCTGATCACTTGATCATTACAGAACTTCCATAAGTAAGGGTCGTCCCACACATAATGTTTGGCATCGCTCTTAATTTTGTCCCTTTGAATTTTTGATGCATTTATAGGGAAAATTCCTGAAACCAAAAAATTAACCAAATCAGCATACCAAGGTACATGTGATGTGCACAACTCTAAGAGTTGTTCATCAGGAAAATCATCCTTGAGGGGAATGAGTTCAGGGACTCCCTCTATTCTGCTTAAGTGGTCTGCTACCAAGTTTTGTGCTCCACTTCTATCTTTAATCTCCAAGTCAAATTCTTGAAGTAAGAGCATCCATCTTATCAGCCTGGGTTTAGAATCTGTCTTTTTTAGCAAAAACTTCAAAGCAGAATGATCAGTGAACACCACAACTTTTGATCCTAACAGATATGATCTAAATTTATCTAATGCAAATACGATGGCCAACAATTCCTTTTCAGTTGTGGTGTAATTGGATTGTGCAGTGTCTAAGGTCCTAGAAGCATAATAAATGACATGAGGGACCTTACCAACCCGCTGTGCAAGGACAGCTCCCACTGCATAATTTGAGGCATCACACATCAGCTCAAAGGGTATTGACCAATCTGGAGGTTGGATGATTGGTGTGGTGGTTAAGGCTTTTTTAAGGAAGTTGAAAGCCTCCTTGCAGTCCTCATCAAAGTCGAATTCAACATCTTTTTGCAGCAGCTTTGAAAGAGGAATTGCAATCTTGGAAAAATTCTGGATAAACCTCCTGTAAAATCCTGCATGGCCCAAAAAAGAACGAACCTCCCTCACGTATGAGGGGTAAGGAAGGTGTGAAATAACATCCAATTTTGCAGGATCAACCTCAATACCTTTTTCAGAGATTATGTGTCCTAGAACTACACCCTGCTCTACCATGAAATGGCATTTCTCAAAGTTAAGTACAAGGTTAGTTTCAATACACCTCTTCAAGACTTTTTCTAAATTGACTAAACATGCATGAAAGGAGGTGCCATAAACTATGAAATCATCCATGAATACCTCTATGCAATGCTCCACTAAATCAGAAAAAATACTCAACATGCATCTCTGGAATGTGCCAGGAGCATTACATAGGCCAAAAGGCATTCTTCGATAAGCGAAGGTGCCAAAGGGACATGTAAATGTGGTTTTCTCCTGGTCTTGAGGGGCAATACAAATTTGAAAATAACCAGAGTAACCATCTAGAAAGCAATAGTGGGATTTACCTGCCAATCTTTCAAGCATTTGATCAATGAAAGGTAATGGAAAGTGGTCCTTCCTTGTGGCCTGGTTCAGCCGCCGGTAGTCTATGCAGACTCTCCAGCTGTTCTGGACTCTGGTGGGTATCATTTCATTCTTCTCATTCCTGACCACTGTAAGTCCAGATTTCTTTGGGACCACTTGCACAGGGCTAACCCAAGTGCTATCAGAGATTGGGTAAATGATCCCAGCTTGAAGCAACTTGGTGACCTCCTTCTTCACCACATCTAGGATGATGGGATTCACCCTCCTTTGAGGTTGTCTCACCGGTTTAGCATCTTCTTCTAACAAAATTCTATGCATGCACATGGAGGGACTAATTCCTGGTATATCAGCAAGTGTCCACCCAATGGCTCTTTTGTGCTTTTTTATCACTTCTAGCAACTTCTCCTCTTGATCACTATCAAGCTTGGTGGAGATGATAACTGGGAGCTTTTCATTTGGTTCCAAATAGACATATTTCAAATGCTCCGGTAGAGGCTTTAACTCTAATGTGGGAGGTTGCTCTATAGATGGAAGTGATTTAGCCTTTTCATTTGACATAATTTCTGCAACATTCAAATCAAAGGGGTTAGATTCAACTGTATTTGCTACATCCAATACTTCACATTCTACCCCTATGGAATCATCAATTTCATCAACATTAAAAATTTCAGAGCTTTCATTCAAATAATCAGAATTTTCAGCATAAGTATCATACAAAGAATTTTCATATGATTCACAAACAAAAGCATCTACACAATGGGAAAAGTTAAGAAAAGAGTTTCTCAAAATTTTGGTCCAGCTCTCATCCACTAATACATCAAATACATCAATATGGAAGATAGAATGTTCTTCAATCGGATGTTTCATGGCATCCAATATGTTGAAGCACACAATGTTATCCCCAAATTCCATGGTGAGTGAACCGGCATGTACATCAATCTTCGTTCTTATAGTCTTCAAGAACGGTCTTCCCAAAATGATAGGTGCAGAATTTTTGAGTGACTCTTCTTCTTGCATGTCAAGGATGTAGAAGTCAGCTGGAAATATGAGGTCATTCACCTTCACCAACACATCTTCAACAAGTCCAGCTGGATGTGTTGTGCTTCTATTGGCCAACTGAATCACTACACCTATGGGCTGCAAGGGACCAAGAGATAGAGAAGAAAAAATAGACAACAGCATAACATTAATGGATGCTCCTAGATCTAGCATTGCATTGTCTATCCTATTATTACCAATGATGCATGGAATAGTAAATGTTCCTGGGTCTTTACACTTCTCAGGCATTGTGGTTCTTTGTTTCTCAAAAAGTGCAGAAACATTCCTACCCATGTTGATTCTTTCATTACCCTTCAGACGCCTTCTATGTGTACACAAATCTTTCAAGAACTTGGCGTACTTGGGTATTTGTTTAATTGCCTCCAGCAAGGGTATGTTTACCTCAACTTTTCTGAAAGTGTCCAAGATTTCTTTGTCACTCTCCTCAGCTTTCTTACTTGGTTTGGCAATCATAACCCCTTGAGGGAAAGGTGGTGGAATTGCCCTTTCAGCTTCTTTTACCACTTCTTGAGTGGTGGGTGCATTTTCTTCCTCCCTTTCATCAACCAAAGGGCTTGGGATCTCCTTCTCCCTAGGCATTTCAGGCTCTTGCATTACCTTCCCAGACCGCAGAGTAATTGCACTGACATTCTTTGGGTTTGTGACTGTCTGTGCTGGGAGGTTGCCTGAACCTTGGGACTGAATTTGATTTATAGAGGAAGCCAACTGTCCCATCTGGTTCTCAATTGTTCTGATACTGGCCTCTGTTCGCTGTTGAAAATTAATATTTCTCACGGCCATTTGCTTCACAAGCTCCTCCAATGATGGCTCATTCTTCTGACAAGAAGAGGCTTGGGATGAGGATGCTTGCTGCTGTTGGTGAGGTTGTTGCCCATGTTGTTGATTATTCCATTGGCGTGGCTGATGTGGCCTACCTTGACCAGCTTGGTAATTGTTACTTTGCTGATTTTACTGGTTGGAATTTCCTCCCCACCTCAAGTTTGGATGATTTCTCCAGCCCGGGTTATACCGGTTTGAAGAAAGATCCCAGTTTGGTTGTTGCTGCTGCTGCTGAAAAGGAAATTTGTTAGTGTAAATATTTGCAGCATAGGCTTGGGGATTACCTTCAGGAGTATCTAACTCCTGCAATGTGGGGCAGCTGTCTGTATAATGATCTGCAGCTGAGCATATTCCACAAAGTGTAGCTGGAACTGGTGGTGGAGGTGTTGCAGAGACAGCACTCTTTTGCATTGCAGCTAGTTGCTTTACCATGGAAGCTAGCTCATCAATCTTGTGCTCCAACTTGTTTGGTTCTGTAGCTTGAACTTCATGCACACCTCTAGTAACACAAGAATTCTGTCTAGTTGCAAATTGCTGGGAGTTGGCAGCCATGTTTTCTATCAAGTTCCTGGCTGCCACAGGGGTCTTATCTACCAAAGCTCCTCCACTCGCTGCATCGATCATACTCCTATCCATTGGGTGTAATCCCTCATAGAAGTACTGGATCAGCAATTGATCGCTAATTTGGTGGTGGAGGCAGCTTGCACATAGTCTTTTAAACCTCTCCCAGTATTCATAGAGAGTTTCTCTTTCTAGCTGCCTAATTCCACAAATCTCCTTTCTTATGGATGCAGCTCGGGAGGCCGGAAAGAACTTCTCTAGAAAGAGTCTTTTGAGGTTGTCCCAACTTGTTATTGATCCCGGTGGAAGGTAGTACAACCAGTCCTTTGCAGTGTCCATTAATGAGAAAGGGAAGGCCTTCAATTTGACATGCTCCTCTGGGACACCTTGAGGTCGCATGGTGGAGCAAACAATATGAAACTCCTTCAAGTGTTTGTGAGGGTCTTCACCTGCAAAACCATGGAATTTAGGTAGAAGGTGAATTAATCCAGTTTTTAAAACAAAAGGGGCATCTACATCTGGATATTGGATGCACAATGTTTGGTATGTGACATCCGGTGCAGCTAGCTCCTTAAGAGTCCTCTCGTCACCTGCCATTGCTCCAAAACTAAAGTTAAGTGAAAATGGAGAAGAGTAAATAGAATTTGGTGTCACAGATTGCAAAGATGTAGTAGGTGATGATAATGATTCAGAGTGTTCAGAGTGATCCCTATGTGTCCTAAGGTTCCTATAAAAAGTCCTATCAATCTCCTGGTCTAATGGATACAAATCTCCAGGGTTTGATCGGGTCATGCACTAGATATCAACTAACTAAATGGAAAGCAAATTGAGCAAATGATATAATCAAGAACAATTTAAAATTTCTCTGCAAAATTCTGCAGAATTATGTAGCATAAAGTGCAGAAAAATAGAGAAATATGCAGCAAAATGAGTGCAGAGAATTGAAAGTGAGTAATTGAAAAATTGCAGCACTAGAATGAAGGGAATGATGCAGAAAATCATGCAATGATAATGCAGAAACAGACTATAAAATTCGTATGACTATCAACACAATACAAGAACTCAAAATGAAACAAACGTACTAACATGCAAAACACAAAAACAGAGCACCAATCATGTTCAACATAAGTTCAGCACCAAAAATTCCCCGACAACGGCGCCAATTTGATGAAACGATTTTTACTACTCGTCATGCAAAAGATTGTCGTTAATCCTCATCAAATATGCAAAGAAATGAATGCAGTACTAGGGTGTTATCCTAGGTCGTCTCCAAGGAATTTTTGGTTGAGAACATACATCGAACAAGTGTAAACATGTATTTTAAAGCAAGTAAATTGGGGGGAGGTTTGTCAATTTCCAGATTTTAATCAAGAGCAGAGTGTAAATTTAATGAAATTCAATCAATTAAAATGAGTAATCCCTAGTCAAGCAATGAGTTCTATCATTATTCTTTCTAATGATTCAATAATCCCCATTCTTTCCCTTGAATTAAGTTAATCTAACAAGCGAAGACTAACTTTAACATCCCAATTAAAATTAAGCATCTTAATGAGCTCCAATCTCTATCCCAAAGATTAAGCAACCTCAAGGATTAATCAAAATTAAGCAATTTTGAATTAGAATTTCGTTAAGTAAATTAGGGTTCATTAAGCAATGTTCCCTTCATGCAAATTCCATTTCATTCAGAGATTGGGGTTAATAAATTCAAGGAAAGAAAGATTTGTATTGCAATTAATCCCAAGAATTCAAGATTCATGTGCATTGACTAGGAATTACAAGAAAGTTTAGCCCTCCATATGGATGGGCTTCACAAATGAGAGAAAGAAATGCAAGAACGTAAACATCATTAATGTAAACTTAATAAAAATCAAAGGAGAAATTGGAAATTAAAACCTATAGAGGACCCTTGGCTGTCACCCAAGACTCCAATGTCGTAAGCAATTATCCCAATTTGGCAAAGGAAAAATGTGTAAAGTGTCAAAAGTCTCGTACCCTAATTCCTAAAATCTATTTATAGTGGATGACATGTCACCAAAGTGTCCACTTTTGCCTTTGAAAGTGTCCACTTTGGGCCTTGAAAGTGTCCACGCGCAAAATGGAAGGAATGCCGCTTCTCTGGAGTCGCTACTATTTGTGCTGAAAGTAGCTACTTTGGTGCGCGTAGCTACTTTGAGAGCCCATAGTAACCACGCGCAGGAAGGCTTCAAAATCAGCGTCCTGGAGCTTCTGAAGTTGCCACTTTTGGTCTTGAAAGTAGCTACTTTGGATGCGCGTAGCCACTTTGAGAGCCCATAGTGACCACGCGCATCATGCTTCAAAATTGGTGTCCCTGGAGCTTCTGGAGTTGCCACTTTTGCTCCTCAAAGTGGCTACTTTGGGACCTTTAATGCCCAGGCTTACTGTAGTTGCTACTTTTGCTCCTCAAAGTGGCTACTTTGTGGGCAACTTTCATCCAAGGACCAAGATTTCTCAAATTTAACTTGGGCATTCTGCAAAATCATCAAGATAATTAAAATTGCAACCTATATCTATGTAATTAAATGCAAATTAACCAAAAATTAATAAACCTATGATATTTACTCAAAATGTGATTTCTATATTATTTTCACTATCTAAGTCCATTTTTTCTATCAAAGAGCACCAAAAAGGCAAGTAAAAATATAATAAAAAGTGGATTCATCACTTGGTTGTCACACCAAAGTTGCATAGGCTTAGTGCTACCAAATCCTATCTCTTCCAGCATATGTTTCAACCACATTAACTCACAAGTAGTTTGAGCCATCGCCCTGTATTCTGATTTCACACTTGATCTTGAAACAACATTTTGCTTCTTACTTTTCCAAGAAATTAAATTACCTCCCAAGAACACACAATATCCGATAGTAGATTTTCTGTCCATAGGTCCTGCCCAATCAGCATCAGAAAATGCCTCTATCTGTGCATGTCCATGATCTTTGTACACAAATCCTTTTCCTGTTGCTTTGTTCAAATACATCACAAAGCGGATTAGTGCTTCCAATGAGTATTCGTCGAAGATGACATAAACTAACTAACAATACACACTGGAAAAGCAATATCCGGCCTCGTGACAGTCAAGTAATTTAGCTTGCCAACTAATCTTCTGTATTTCTGTGGATCTGTAAAAGGAACTCCATCAACTGTTAGTTTCACTTTTGGCTCCATAGGTGTCTCACATGGTTTAGCTTCTTTTAGTCCGATCTCAATCAATAAGTATAAGACATATTTTCTCTGTGATAGGAAAACTCCTTGCTTGAAGTACATGACTTAAATACCAAGAAGTATTTCAGAATTCCTAAGTCTTTTATCTGAAACTTGGTTTGAAGAAATTTTCTTAAGTTGCCAATTTCTTCTTTGTCACTACCTGTAATAACAATATCATTAACATAAATAACAAGAAAAATACAACCATGGTTAGTTTGTTTGTAAAACATTGTATGATCACACTCACTCCTTACTAATTCAAATTCCAGAATCATGTCACTAAATCTCCCAAACCATGCTCTAGGTGATTGTTTCAAGCCATAAACTGACTTCTTTAAGCGACATACTCTTCCACACTCTACCTGAGCAACAAAGCCAGGTGATCGCTCGATGTACACCTCCTCTTGTAAGTCTTCATGTAAGAATGCATTCTTGACATCTAGCTAGAATAATGACTAATGATGCATAGCCGCAAGAGAGATGATGATGCAAACAGATGAGAGTTTAGTAACTGGAGATAACGTATCAATGTAGTCAAAGTCGTAAGTTTAGGCATACCTTTTTGCAATAAGGCGTGCCTTCGAACAAGCCACAGAACCATCCAGATTAACTTTCACAGTGTAAACTCACTTACAACCAATAGTCTGTTTGTCCTTGGGAAGAGGAAACAAATCCCAAGTATCATTTGTCTCAAGAGTCAACATTTCTTCTTCCATAGCATGTCTCCAACCATCATGACTGAGGACATCTGCAAGGGTCTTAGGAACAGAGAGAGAGTCTACACCAGCCATGAAGGATTTAGACGTAAAGGATAAATGAGCAGACGTCACATAAGAAGAAATAGGATATGTGCAAGATCTCTTACCTTTTCAGATAGCAATAGGAAGGTCAAGGTCAGATATAGGATCTGTTGACACTTGAGGAGATAATGGTCGAGGTTAAGTATCATCTTGAATATCATTAGCCATGGGGGGCACATCATCTGAAGGTTGTTTTGGCCGACGAAAGTATGTTCGCTCAAAGAACTTGAAACCTGTATCAATAGGAGCCAGAGGTGTAACAGGATGTGTAGATTGGACAAAGATGAAGACTTAAAGAAAGACATATAGAAGGAAATAAGATAACAACCAAGATCAAGAGAAAAACAACGGTAACATTTTTGTCACAAAAAATAACCCAAAAACAAGTGTAGATCAAGTTAAAGATTGTAGATCAAGTTTAGTTACCTGAGGACGAACATCAAACACAAAATAAGTGCAGCAAAAAAGTTATGGAGGTAAAGAAAAGAGAGATTGTGATGGGAAAAGTATAGAGTGGGGAATCTCACCATGTAACACAGATAATGCCATGCAATTAATTAAATATGTAGCAGTAAGAACAGCATCAGCCCAAAAAGTTTTAGGAATTTTCATTTCAAATAGTAAAGCACGGGCTACGTCCATAAGATAACGATTTTTACGTTCAACTACTCCATTTTGTTGTGGGGGTAACAATACAAGAAGATTGATTAAGTATGCCATGTTTATTCATAAAATTAGTGAAAGATGCAGAAAAATATTCTTTAGCATGATCACTTCTAAGAATGCACACACAAGTATTAAATTGAGTTTTAATTTCAGCACAGAAATTACAAAATATAAAAAAAACTTCAGATCAAGATTTCATAAAAAAACAACCATGTTGCACAAGAATAATCATCCACAAAGGTAATAAAATATTCAAAACCAGACTTAGAAGTAACTGGACAAGGGCCCCAAACATCTGAATGAACAATTTCAAAGGGGGCATGAAACCTTTTATTTAAATGAGGTAAATAAACATTACGATGATGTTTAGCAAACTGACATGACTTACAATAAAAATTAGACTCTATACTAAGACATAACTTTCTAAGAACTCCTAAAGACGGATGACCCAGACGGCAATGAAGTTGGAAAGGAGACATTATTTCATTTCTAGACGCAATAGAAGCTTGCGAAAGTCCTTCTTCCAATAGATACAGCCCATTAGATACCTTACCTCTACCAATAATCCTCTATGTCACCAGATCTTGAAAAATACAAGAATCAGAAAAGAATGTTACTGAGCAATTTAATGATGAAGTGATTTGGCTAATAGACAACAAATTTAAGGGGAATTGAGGCAAGTATAAAATAGAGGATAAAGGTAAGGTTGAAATTGGGGTGGTACACTCGCTGTCCTTAATATGGACAATACAACCATCAGCGAGTGTTACAAAAGAATGAGAACTAGGTAGACAAAAAGATGAAAGGATACTTGAATCCCTAGTCATATGATCAATAGTGCCAGAATTAATGACCCAATGCTTGGAAGAAAAGGAAAGACATGCAGTAGGATAATCTTTTTGGACCAAAGTCGCAGTAGGGGATGTAGACGACTATTAGGAAATCTGAAACTGAGTATACTCAATAAATTCTGCATCACTCATACACACAGTATGTCCTTCTTTTTCCTGAGTAGCTGTATCAGGTTGAGACACTGAGTTAGCGAAGCGAGAATGACCGTGTGAGTGAAAAAACAAATGATTCTGCAGAAGATAAGTGCACTAATTCCGATAATGGCCAAATTTGCCACAATTGTAGCACTGTACAATACCACAACCTCCATTATGCCCACGGCCATGACTACCTCTACCATCATTGCGACCACCATGGTGACCGTATTGGGCTGCCAAGGCAGAGTGGTCAAAAGACACATTTTCTATAGTGCTCTTGAGCTCCTCAAAGTGATGAACCCATATTTTATTTAATTTTTACTAGTCTTTTTGGTGTTCTTTAATAGGAAAAGCAAACTTAGAAAGTTAAATAAGATGAAAATTTCATTTAGGTCAAATATCATAGGTTTATTAATTTTTGGTTAATTTACACTAATTTACATAGATATAATTTACAATTTTGACCATTTGAATAATTGTGCAAGAATTTCTAGACTTATTCTATGAATTTCCAGCTTTTGAGAAAATTTGAGGTGAAAGTAGCCACTTTTAGAAGTGATAGTGGACACTATAGCAAGCTAGATTCAGAGGGCATACCAAAGTGATCACTTTCAGAGGTGATAGTGGACACTTCAGAGGGCCCAAATTGCAATCGACCTACGCGTGACAACTATAGCAAGAGCCAAACAGACACATAGTCTCGTGTAGCCACTTTTACTTACCATAGTGGCTACACGCACTGCACGTAACCACTATCACCTTCCATAGTGACAACCTCGGAGATGAATGACAATTTTGGGAGGCTACGCGTAGTTACTATCACTTATGATAGTAGCTACTATGTATGACGTCCACTTAACTATAAATAGATTTTTGGAAATTAGGGTTGCAGAACTTTTTACAGTTTTAGATTTTTGCCATTTTGGGAACACTTGTAGAGCTTAGGTCAGCCTTGAGTGACAACCAAGGATCCAACCTAGGGTTTCATTTCCATTTTCTCCTTACTTTTCTTTGATTTTTAGATTGATGTTATTGATTTCTCTTTACTTTCACTTTGTAATTGTAAGACTCATCCTCATGGAGGGCTAAACCTTTTATAATCCCTATTAAGTTCGTTTAGATTCTTGAATTCCTAAGTTTTGAATGTTAATATAACTCTTTTTCTTCCATGAATTTCTTCTTTCTAATCTCTTAAATTGAATTAATGGTGAATGAGGGGGATATTACTTATTTAACTCTAATTCATTTTAATGCGATTCGAAACTTGAATTGCTTAATGCTGGGTTTATTTCTAAGGTTGCGTAATCTTGGAAAAAGAGATTAGAGTCAATTGAATTGCTTAATTCGTATGAAAGTATAAGGTTGATTTTTGCTTCTTCAATTAGCCTAATATTGGGAGGAGAAAGAAAAGTATTAAATCTTGAGAGGAATAAGGATAGAATCACATGAATGAACTAGGGATTGTTGCATCTTATTGATTAAACCTTATAATTTTGTTTCTTGCTCTTTATATTGAATTTGGAATCACATAAAACCCTTCATTTATTTGCTTTCGTAGTGAATGTTTATAACATGTTTGATGCATATCTTCAACCAAAGTCATCGGAGACAACCTAGGCTTGTATCCTAAACTACATAAATTTTTCTGCATATTTTGATGAGGATTAGGGACAAATCTCTATGCAATCTTAGCATCATCAAATTGGCGCCGTTGCCAAGGATTTTGGTTGCATTGAATTTGTTAAACACTCTATTTTAGTGTTCTATTTTTGAAATTTTTTGCATTGTGAATACATTAGCATTTATATTGCTTCCTAATAGATAGAAGACTTCTTCATTTAGGTACATAATTTTGTTGTTTTTCTGTAACTTTTGGGTGTTAGTTTCTACGTTTTTAATTTCACTATTCTGCATCTCTAATTTTTCTTTATCCTTGCTCTGTTTTGCTGTAGAATTTTGCAGAATCTTTTAACTTTATGTTGCATTTTTCTTTGCAATCGTTTTGTAGTTTCTTTTCTTTTCTTGTTGCTTAGTACAATTGTTTTATTTTACTGCACTTAGACATTATTTTTCTGCATAATTGTTATCTGCACTTTCTTGCAATTTTGTATTTCACTTAGCTTGCTTCTTTTTATTTCTTATAGTTAGTTCTTGATGCATGACTAGATCAAATATTGGAGATTTGTATCCACTTGATCCAGAAATTGATAGGACATTTCATAGTAACATTAGAATACAAGCATAATTCTGAACATTTTGAGGATCTTTCATCTCCTTCATCTATCTACTCTTCACCACATTCTTTAGATTTTGAAACTGAAAAAATGGCTAAAAATGAAAGGACATTAAAGGAACTGGCTGCACCTGACGTAATTTATCAAACTTTATGCATACAGTATCCTAACATTGATGCTCTTTTTGTTCTTAAGACTGGACTAATACACTTGTTGCTTAGATGTCATGGCCTTGCAGGTGAAGATCCACACAAGCACCTCAAGGAGTTCCATATAGTTTGTTCGACCATGAGGCCAGAAGGTGTACCTGAAGAGCATTTTGAATTGAAAGCTTTCTCATTCTCTCTGATGGATGCAGCCAAGGATTGGCTTTACTATCTCCTTGTTGGATCTATTACCAGTTAGGACAACTTGAAGAGACTTTTCTTGGAGAAATTCTTTCCAGCATCTAGAATTGCATCTATAAGGAAAGAAATTTGTGGAATAAGACAACTTGAAAGAGAGACACTCTATGAATATTGAAAAAGGTTCAAGAGATTGTGTGCCAGCTACCCTCACCATTAAATAAGTGAACAATTGCTCATCCAATATTTTTACGAAGGACTTCACCCCATGGACAGAAGCATGATAGACGTTGCAAGTGAAGGGCATTGGTAGACAAGACTTCAGTTGCAGCCCGCAAATTGTTTGAAAATATGACTGCTAACTTCTAACAATTTGCAACAAGACAAAATTCTTGTGTGACCAGAAACGTAAGTGAAATCCAAGTTGCTAAACTCAGTAAACTGGAACACAAGCTTGATGAATTAGCATTCATGATGAAGTAATTGGCTTCCATGCAAAAGAGTACTGCTGCACCTTCACCTCCTCCACCATCCATTCTAGCTATGCTGTGTGGCACTTGTTCAGCTACAAACCATTATACCGACAACTATCCCACATTGTAAGAGTCTGACACTCTGAAAGGTAACCCCCAAGCTTATGCTACAAATATTTATACTAATAAGTTTCCTTTTCAGCATTCGTAGCAACAGCCCAACTGGGATCTATCTTCAATTAGGTACAACCTAGGCTGGAGAAACCATCCAAATTTGAGATGGGAAAACTCCTCACAACAGCACAACCAGCAGCAAAGCAACCAATATTAAGTATATCATACTGGCCCAAGTAAACCCCATTAATCCCAACATCAACCACAACAAGCCCCACAACCTCATCAACCATCTTCTTCACAACCTAGTGCACCCAAAAAAAAGAGCCATCATTGTAGGAGCTCATGAAACCAATGGCCATGAACAACATCACTTTCCAGTAGAGAACCGAGACTAGTATTAAGACTCTAGAGAATCAAATGGGATAGTTAGCCTCTTCTCTAAGTCAAATCCAATCTCAAGGTTCAGTAAGTCTCCCTACACAAACTGTTGTAAACCCTAAAAATGTAAGTGTAACCACCTTGAGATCTGGAAAAGTGATGCAAGAGCCCACATTGCCCAAGGATAAAGAAGAATTCAAGCTGTACTCCAGCTACAGTTGATCAAAGTGGAGAAGAAAAGACTCAAGGATATCTAGAACCTGCACCTGCCCAACAAAAGGTAGCAGAAAATATTGAAAGAGTAGTTCCTCTATCATTTTCTCAAAGAGTCATCCAGCCAAGCAAGAAGACTGAGGAAACTGATAAAGAGATCTTAGAGACCTTTAAGAAGGTAGAGGTAAATATACCTCTATTGGATGCAATTGAACAGATACCCAAATATGCCAAATTTCTGAAAGATTTATGCACCTATAGAAGGCGTCTTAAGGGTAATGAAAGGGTAAACATTGGTAGGAATGT